TCATATCTTGCTGTAAATACATTCTAAAATAAACTCTTTCAAATATACAAAAAAAAATACATATACTCCGCGAAATTGTCATCTGTAATAAATAAACGTGAACACGTATCGGGTCACAGTGATGCTCCTGGTCTGTTGATTCTGTTTAATCTCCTGAAACAATGGTGGCTTCTCATCCTCTGAAAGCTAAGATAAATAATGTATGAAGGAAACCTCCCTTTTTATTTTTCCCTTTTCTTCACATTTTCTGCTTTTGATAGCGAGTTCTGCCTAAATTTTCACGCTTCCATTCAGAGGACACAAAAGCCTACAAATTATACAATGACTTCTAACCTGGCCCTCTGGCGAACATTTTTTTTTTTTTATTCCAAATAAATCATAAGGACAGATGGAATTGGTTACAGAGACTGACAAAACAAAAAGGTATTGTGACAAAATCTGGCCGAGTGAACCAAGTGCACGTCACAGAAAAAGTTTGGCTTGGCAGGTGAAATTCCCACACCAATCAACAATGAGTGGGAAAGAAAACAGATGCCTGATCAGTACACATAAGTGGGGTGAAGACAAATTCTAACACCACTGACATCTCCACATGGCTTCCTGCTGATGATTGGCTGCCTGGCTCTCACATATTAGAAACACAGGGGTGTTTGTTTTTCACCTACTTCCCTTTCCTTGACAATATTCTCTAGCCTTGATTTCTATCACTGATTACAAATTCTGTCATCTGGCTTGGACTTTCTTAAGTACACCCACAGCATATCATTAATTGTTCTGATTATAGGGATATCAGTGACATGCAACCAGTACGTCTTATATCAGCCCCACAGCAATCTACCCCATCCATTGTCCTGATTATACTGGGGATGTCAGTGACATGCTTCCAGTATTTCTTATATCAGCCCCACTGCAACTAAACCCTATTCATTGCCCTGATTGTTCTGGGGATATCAGTGACATGCATACAGTACATCTTATATCAGCCCCACAGCAATCAAACCCATTCATTGCCCTGATTGTACTGGAAATATCACTGACATGTTTCCAGTACTTCTTATATCAGTCCCACAGCAACTAAACCTATTCATCTCCCTGATTGTACTGGGGATATCACTGACATGCATCCAGTACCCACCCCACAGCAATCAAACCCATTCAATGCCCTGATTATATTGGGAATATCACTGACATGTTTCCAGTACTTATATCAGCCCCACAGCAACTAAACCCATTCATCTCCCTGATTGTACTGGGGATATCACTGGTATGCATCCAGTACCCACCCCACAGCAATCAAACCCATTCAATGCCCTGATTATATTGGGAATATCACTGACATGTTTCCAGTACTTATATCAGCACCACAGCAACGAAACCCATTAATGTACCTGATTGTACTGGGGATATCACTGACATGCATCCCGTACCCACCCCACAGCAATCAAACCCATTCAATGCCCTGATCATATCGGGAATATCACTGACATGTTTCCAGTACTTCTTGCATCAACCCCAAAGTAACTAAACCCATCCATCGCCATGATTGTACTGGGAATGTCAGTGACATGCAAGCAGTACATCTTATATCAGCCCCACAGTAACTAAACCCATCCATCACCCTGATTATACTAGGAACATCACTGCCATGCATCCAGTACTACTTATATCAACAATGGCATTGGGTAAAGTAAGCTAGATCTGCTGTGTTTTAGTCCTCTGTCTCTAGGCATGTGTCTGAGTCAGCTTGATTTTCTGAAGAATCTTCCCAACTCATAAAACTTGTGTCCTTGTAGTCTGTACGGGAAGGAGTTCAGAGAAAAGTCATGTTAGCTGGCACAAGTAGGTGATGATGCTGCTGCTGCTGGCTCAGTGCTGGGTGCAGGTGATGGTGGTGATCAGTCGGCTGCCAGTATTCTAGGATGTCCGAGGTAGAGTTGGCAGGGCTGGCAGGAGACAGGGAGCTGCAGGAGGAGGACGAGGATGGGGATGGTGTGCAGCTCCAGGAAGAAGCCGATGGGCTGGAAGATGAATGAGAATCGTGGAGCAGCATGGAGGGCTCAGTACATGATCCGTGCAGCTGGTCAGCTATGCGCAGGGTCTCTGACAGCGCCCAGATGTAGTTGTGGGCGACGCGCAAGGTCTCTATCTTGGTGAGCTTGGCATCGTCGGGGAAGGCGGGCAGCACTTCTCTGAGTTCATCTAGGGCAGAGTTGAGGTGGTGCATGCGGTTCCTCTCCCGGTTGTTGGCTTTCAGCCTCCGGGTCTTCTTGATCTTCGTCACCAATTCGCCGCTTTTGTTGCCGCTCCTGGCACGGTTGCGCTTGGGCTTCTTGGCGTCGTCGGCGGACTCATGGCGCTCCTGTGGTTGTGGCGGGGTGAGGAGCCGCTCGTCGTCTGAGCTGCAAGTCTGCGGTGACAGGTGGGAGGAGGAGAGCGAGCACGGAGAGGACAGCTCCTCCTCCTCTTCTCTGTATTCATGCTTTACCAGCACCATCCTAGGACAGAGAGATAACATTAGTACCCACACTGACTGGGCATAGAAGGGGGAATGAGAGGAAACAGACCGGAGAAGTGATATACCTGCTGCAGTGATGATTGCTCGGTCTCCGGATAGAAGGTAGCTGGCAGGGCTTGGTGTGCGCTCCTGGCACGCGTCGTGCAGCCAGGCTCCCAGAGAAGCAGCTTGTGGTTTAGTGGCTGTGTGTCTGGCACACGACCCTCCTAAAATCCCTTATATACACCCTGCACAACAATCAAAGCTACCCCGGGGCAGCGAGCCCCCTCCCCGGCTCATTCTTCTCATTATCATCCCTCATTTTACTCCCCCCCCACCCCCCTTCTTCTCTACCTGCTCCTTCTTGTCGCCGTCTACTCCGCTCCTCCAGCTTCCTGCCCTCTGATTGGTGGCTCCCGCTCGGCTGAAGCGTGCCGCTAATTTCATGAATCAATAGGGCGGTGTGTGTCAGCCAATGGCAGGGCGCCGAATCCCGGACAGGGGGCAGCTAGCCACGCGCCCTCTGAGCAGCTGATGAGGGGAGAGGGAGGGGGCTGGATGGATGCAGCTTTGTGGTAACCTGCAACCCTGCTCTCCTCACAGCGATGCTCTAAAATCAAACTGCGGCCAATTCTGTGCCATGGAATGTTACAAACTAGCACAAATAACACGGTTACAATAATTTCACTGGTACTGCTAAATGGGGACACAGGCAGCAATAGAAACTTTATAGAGAGGGAAATGTACCAAAACTGGAACAATAGCCCATAGTAACCAATCAGCTTCTCTCTTCAGGTTGTTCTGTTAAGTTTTGAAAATGAAAGATAGAAGTTGATTAGTTACTATGGGCAACTGCTTCCGATTCCCCCTGCTCCAGTTTTGTTAAATTCCACTCAGAAGGTCTAACCCAGGGGCAGGCAACCTTGGCACTGCAGCTGTGCTGAGCATACAATTCCCATTATACCTCTGCCTCTGGGAGTTATGTCAGTCTTGCAATGCCTCATGGGACATGTAGTTCCACAACAGCTGGGGGTGCTGAGGTTGCCTACTCCTGGTCTAACCCTTCCCCACCACATCCAAAACGAAAAGGTTCAGCCTAGAGATACACTGTCAGTCTTTGCTCTTAGGGGAACACACATTTCATTTTTAATTCTATCAATATGAGGAAACATGGAATAAAACATTATTTTATCATTTAGGGCCTGTTCACACCCGATGCGCTGGGCGTTCTTTTCCAACACAGCCCCAACGCAAGACAAGGAAATTTGCCTTTGTTCCAAATGTGCACAGTTCACACCAGGGGTGACGCTAAAATCAACGACAGGAATTTTGGTGCCCCCCCTCAGAAAAGTTGGGCACTCGGTCATGCGCGCTGACATCATAGCGGAGTTTCACCCGGCACCCACTTCGTGTGTCACCCAGCCTCGGGACAACTCTGGTTCACACTATCACATTGCAATGATGTGCACTGAAAGAAGTAACGGCATGCAGTACTTTTTTATCATGCCCACTAGTGAGACGTGGTACAACCGCATCACACCTTGGTGTGCCCACAGAACTTAATGGAATGTCACTTATGACATTTCAATAAAGTTCTAACAAAAAAACTCAGTGTGACTCATCTTGATAGAATGCATCAGCAGTGTGCTGGGCACACGCACACCAGCAGTCATGCGTTGTAGCACGGGTGCTGGTGTGAACAAGCCCTAAAGCAAATGTGGGCAAACTCTGGCCCTCCAGCTGTGGTGACACTACAAATCCCATGATGCATCTGCCTCTGGAAGTCATGTCTGTGGATATAAGAATCTTGCAATGCATCATGGGATTTGTAGCTCCACGACAGCTGAAGGGCCACCCCCTACGCCAAAGGCTGTGTACTTTTAATACCATATTCAGGGTTTCTTATTCAGGGTTTGATAAAGTTACATCCCCAGCCTCCTGCCCTCACACTTACCTGAATCAAAGGGTTATTCTTCCTGCAGGCCCCTGTCAGTTTTTACTTTGGTGTAACTCCGCCCACACTGCAGTGTCATCCATTCACACATCCTTTTGACAGATCCTTGAGCCAGCACGGCCCAGAGACTTGTGGTTCTGAATGGAATTCATACTACCTCATCTCATCCCTTGACTGAAAGTCCGTATTGACGGGGACTGGTAGTCTGCAGGAGCCATCGCATTGCACCTGTGATCCACTGATGGCAACCTTGGCACCCCAGCTGTGGTGAACTACAAATCCCTTAATGCATCTGCCTATGGGAGTTATGCCATTGGCTGTCAGAGTCTTGCAATGCCTCATGGCACTTGTAGTTCCAGAGCAGCTGGAGGGCCCAGGTTGCCCACCTTTGAGCTAGAATCACTGTTCTGTTATTCTGACAGCGGTACACCCGCCGCCCATTTCTAGGTGCTCATTTTTTAGACGACGGCTGGATTCACATTGCAGCCTTATAAATATGCTACATGTCATTGCACGTCTTTAATCTGCTTTGTAACAAAAACAGCACACACAAAAAACGCAGCCAAAAATATTCTTAAAGCAAAAAATGTGGTATTTTTTTATATCATGGCATGAACCCAACCTAAAGCATAATAATAAGCTTCAAGCATTGCCAAAGATTTGCCGAGTGTATAGCTGGGACTATATGGTGGCTGCAAGTTTCAGTGGGGGCATTTGACAGTTCAGTAATTATCTGAATTGTAACAATGTTTTATTTCTGATTGTATTTTTGAAAATGTGTCAGTGTGTTTGTTAAAGCATTACATAGTAGGCTTCATTGACACAGAGATGAGTTATTAGCCTCAATCCTTTTGCACATTTTTTTCCTTCCGCATGGAACCCCTTTTTACATAATACATTCTTTTCATGTCAATGTTTTTACGCATACAAATGCATGAAAAGTGAGAATTACAAATGACCATTTTTTTTGAATTGAACACCAGTTTATAATGAAAGGTAGGAAGCAGTACTAGCCGGCCAGGAGCACTGCTTGACCATGTGGTGCTATCGGTTCTTACAATGACGATATACTACTTTGTCACTTAGTCAGGGTTATTCACAAAAGGATGAAGAGTTTGGAGAAGGCAGGAGAAGTGAACAATCTAGGACAAAATAGCTGAATTGGAGAGTTTTTCCATATCAGCTATGTTCGTTGTCCTAGATTGTTCACTTCTCCTGCCTTCTCCAAACTCTTCATCCTTTTGTGAATAACCCTGAGTGAGTAGGGTGGAAGCTGGTTTGGGCAGGGTCCTCCTCACCTACTGTTTCTGTACGTCAATGATGCTTGCCAGTGTTTCTTAGCGATTGTACAGCGCTGCGAAATATGTTGGCACTATATAAATAATTGTAATTGGAGCACAAATTATAGTTTTCATATCCCTATAATAAAAAAAAAATGAAAATTTGGGCAAAATCCATTAAAGTCAAAAAGGGAAAGCAAAATGAAGGTGGTTTTTGGTGGTTTATAAGAGTACAATGGGATGTAAATGACTCTTGTGGGTTATAGAAGCTTCTTTTACCTATTCTTGACCTGTTCTTGTACCAAAAATACTCATTATTTAAAATGTTTTCTACAGAAAAAAAAAGGAAACAAGAAAAACACAAAATTGACACAAAATTGAAATTTTAGCCTTTTTTTTTTTTTTTTTATTTCTAATGAAAGAAAAAGAAAAACAGACAGTGAAAAACAAGAAAATGCAAAATTGAATTATTCCTGGATAGTGTAATTATTTTTTTTCAAACGAAAAAAATAAAAACAGCGTTAAAGGAATCTACAAAATTGGCACAAAATTACAAGATTGAAGTTATAAAATAATGTGACATAGTAATATTCAAATACACAAAAAAAAAGAATTTGAAAAAAACTATTCAAAACACATCCTCCACAAAAAGAACAAAATATAAATAATAATAAAAAGCAGAGCAGCTCCAGAAGCAAAATTAAGAATTTCCACTTTGATAAAATGTTGCTGGAGGCAAATCTCTAATCAGTTTTGCCGCAATAACTCCACTCATCCCTACTACTCTTTCTGAATTAGGAGTTAAAAATCACAAGGTGTAAATAAAGCCTTTCCTCTTTTTATAATCGAATGTAATAATAACTCTTCACTTTTCTCTTCTTGCATAAATTGATACCTCAGCAGGATAAATCAGGCTGAAGGTGAGTAAAAGTAGCCCTACACAATGTAACTAAAATACATTTGATATTGATCATGAAGTCAAGTTGATTTCCAGCACGCCAGATCACTTTCATCAAAATGACACCACTTGTAGATTGTAAGCTCCCATGAGCAGGGTCCTTCTAATCCTTTTCTATGGTATTGTGATTGTACTGTCTTCCTTATATTGTAAAGCGCTGTGCAAACTGTTGGCGCTATGTAATAAATTGGATGTGGTGCGTCTAGCAATTTTTTTGCCAATCTGCAAATTGTCTTCCTTTTGAATGAAATTATTAAAAAATTTTCTAATTAAAAAAACACATACAAATGTTGTCTCACAGCTCTCAAACGAAATGTATGTGGGAAAATTGTTGATGATTAATATTTTATATAATTTTATATTCTAATAAAAAAAATTAGTATCATTACTGATCGATTTTACAACTAAAGCAGAACACACCCATAATCCAAAGAGTAGACCGCTCACTGCATTATTACAAAATGTTTTTCTAGAATACAAGCGTTGAATACCGTGTGAAATGTGTCAGAGCTTTTATCCTCTGCTGATTTTTATATAAAATAACATATTTTGAGGTGAGCGTTTTTCTCTTTGCTTTATGGATGTTGTTGTGGTTGTAAATAAGCCCAACCCTGGCTGGGGAGTACAAACCAAGGCACCAATAAAGGGCAATTTTTTTAGCAACTTTTGCAGTGGGGCTACCCCCATACTGCAAGTGTTAAATGCTTGTTTTCATCTAGGGGCAAAAATAAAAAAAAGTAATGCTCACCCAAACTGCTGAGCCAGTCGGTGTCATAGCGCTCCCTCCAGCCTCTGTCCTCCTAGCTGTAGTGATGGTATGTCCCTCAGCGT